AAATGAGAAATAGGAATAATACTTAGAATACTTCTTAAACTAAATATTTTTGGAATAAAATCTTGAGAATTTAATTGGAATATACCTAGAATTCTCTTATCTCTATATAAACATCCATCACATCATAAATCTATCATCTACAAATCCAGAAATACTGTTAATTTTCTCCATCCAAATCCAAAATGGAACTGAATCGGTTAGCACTCGTTTTTTAATACCGTGGTGTTGCTAACCATCTTTGCTATGAGTCATGCCTGAATCACCTCGTACTATGTTATCATAACAAATTTAAATATTGAAAATCGACTTAAAATCTGTTATTGTCTATATGCATATTTCAAAGCAATATCTAAGATAGTAAATTTACAGTGATTGTTAACATGATTTAGCAATTATACAACATCCAAATAGATTAGGTGAAGAAAATAAGTGAGCACAATTGTAAATTGAAGTTTAACTTGGGAATATTTTGTACAAAAAAACCTCTATAAATTAATATTCGATAAATTAAATAATCACTATAAATTAATAAATTTTCTGATTCTGAATCAAACCAATATAAGATTTAATATAATTTGATTAAATAATAATTTGTTTGAAAATCTTATGTAACTATATGGTCTCATCAGTATCATAAATTAATAATTGTATAAACTTACCAATATATATATGTAAGAAAATTTTGTAAAATATGATTTTAGATTGTTTTTTTTTCTTAATATGCATTAATCTTTAGTAGAGCTCACTTATAATATTTTACTACATCGATATATTTTTGTATTGTTTTCTTGGGATAATAATTAGTTTTTTACTTGTATTTGGTTTTAAAAGGATATTGATTTCTATAAAAAAAAAAAATCTTTCAGATTGATTTTTGTTTTAAATTACAAAATTATTCAAAACTATGTAAAATTTAATAATTATTCATTTATCGATAAATTAATATCTTAATAATAAATTAATATAATTTCACGGTCCCGACACTATTGATTATAGAAAAAGAATCAAATTGTACTTGATTTTATATATAGAAAATCACGTTTCCATATATAAGTCTAAGTACAATAATATTTTTTAATTGACACTTAAATGGTTCTGAAAAAAAGGCAGTAGTCCATTGTTTCAAATCTATATATATAATGGGAGAGTCTTCTCTCCATATAAGTTATCCACATCATCATCCACCTAAGCATGCATCTAATTAAAAATTAAAAGTCAAAATTTATTTAAAATGTTCATTCAATACATACTTATTTTTACTTATTGTTATTTATGATTAAAAATATTTAAGTTATAATACAAATGAATTAATATTATAAGTAAAAAAAATAAATATAAATTTATACATAATAATATAATTTGAATTTTAGCGAGAAAATGTTTAAGATAAATCATATTTAAAAACTTATAAACATTTCAGTTTTAAAATTGATATATTAAAAATCAATATGATGGATATTTCTAAAATTGTATGAAAGTTGAAAGATCATACATTTATTAGCTTTAAAAATATATATAGTAATGAATCATGACATATTTAAAAATCAATATGTTGGGTATTTCTAAAATTGTATGAAAGTTGAAAATCTATATATATAATGGGAGAGTCTTCTCTCCATATAAGTTATCCACATCATCATCCACCTAAGCATGCATCTAATTAAAAATTAAAAGTCAAAATTTATTTAAAATGTTCATTCAATACATACTTATTTTTACTTATTGTTATTTATGATTAAAAATATTTAAGTTATAATACAAATGAATTAATATTATAAGTAAAAAAAATAAATATAAATTTATACATAATAATATAATTTGAATTTTAGCGAGAAAATGTTTAAGATAAATCATATTTAAAAACTTATAAACATTTCAGTTTTAAAATTGATATATTAAAAATCAATATGATGGATATTTCTAAAATTGTATGAAAGTTGAAAGATCATACATTTATTAGCTTTAAAAATATATATAGTAATGAATCATGACATATTTAAAAATCAATATGTTGGGTATTTCTAAAATTGTATGAAAGTTGAAAAGACATACATTTTTTAGATATATAGTGAATTAGTGATTAATCTTATGACATATTAGTGATGAATCTTATGACATATTACTAATATATAGTGAATTAGAGATATATGATATATCTTATGACATATTAGTATTACTAATTAAAATAATAGTTGATTAGTTTATAAATTATAGTAAACAAAATGTTAAAATATAGCTTGATAGTATCGTGTATAATAATTGAAAACAAAACTAAAATAAAATTATGTATACTTTTAATTTTTAGCTTATCAAAAATATAATATAAAGTTTTATAAATGCAATTGATAGTAATACAAACACTATGCACTTATTAAAACTATAAAATATTATTTTAAAAATATCAAATATAGGTAGAAAGAGCACAATTACAACATTAAATTTAATAAGATAGAAACAAAAAAAATAAAAATAAAAATAAGAGAATATAAAAATATCGGAATTGAGTGACAAAATTATTCTTAGAAAGCTAAATTTCTAAAGAAAAAGACAATATATTAAAAATAAGATATATATATATATCTTTTCTTTTTTGTTTGTAAATACAATAGATATAAATTGATGACAAAAAAAAGATATAAATTTGGAAAAGATAAACCAGATTTAAAATAGAGATCACACTTGAGTTTCTAGAATTATAAAAGAAAATGTTATGCATAAGAATTCATGCACTTAAAGAGAAAATATATAATGAACAATCATAGGATACTAAGTCAATACAAAAAAAAACGTTTAATATATGTAGTATATTATAAGTAGACGTGTAAATATATATAATTATCACTTATAACATTTATATTATATATATATAACCGTTTTTACCAATAGAATTACATATAGTTTTCAAACAGTATTGTAATAAAAAATATGTAAAATAATGTAATTTACAAAACTATAACAAAATTGAGTATATATTATTAAACTCACGCATCGCGTGGGTCCATTTCTAGTCCTATATAACTAAGGCACATTGTTGACTCTATATACCATTAAATAGACTAACGCAAAATGGTCATGAAAGGCGAAATGTCAAATAGAAATATAACGAGATATCTTTCAAATATCTCTCAAAAATATAAAAAAACCAATATATTGGGAAATCTTTAAAAAATAGTCTCTAAATATTTGATATCCTAACTATAATCTTTTAAATAATTAGATTGAAGAAAATTGGCGGAACATCTTCTTATCCCCTTTTCTGTTTCCGAGAGAGAGATTTGTACTAGATCCTGACATGCACGCACGTGCGGAGTTTCATATTTAAGAATTAATTTCTAATAAATTTTAATTTAATATAGATTATTTTGCTGTTTTGTGATATATATATATATATATATATATATATTGTAATGTACTAGATATATTGTTATGGAAATTGTTTCATAGACTTTAAAAATATACAACATTTTGCTGTGTTAGTGAAATTCGATATAGCCTAGATATTATAAAGTTAGAGTAATAAGTGAAATTCAGTTGTTATCGTACGTAGTTATATTTTAAGATCTGGACCTACACGTACGTGTGAGATTATCTTTGTAAGATAAATTAAGACATAATTTAATTGCAAACTTAAGTGATGTTATGTTATTATTTTCTAAACTAATCAAACATTTCTAACAGTTTGACTACGTATGTTAATAGGATATGGATTCAGTTTTAGCTTGGGTTATTTCATGTATAATAGCTAGGCGTATTTGTCATATTTATCACTGGAAACTTATCTTGTCTTGTATTTGTCATAAATTCTTCATCCCATAACCTATCCCATATACGTGAAATAAATATATTACCGTCCCGTATCCGTAATAAATATAATATATGTAACAGAATATATACACAAATTTATTTAATTATTTATATAGTGCTCATAACCCGAACTCATACCAGTTGGTATTTTTGATTTTCAGTTTGGTTTCAATCTATGTTCCCATCCCGTCTCGTCTCGTAATTCATATTCCCATTCCATTCCATTAATATTATGTTCTAAATTCTTGTTTGCTTACCCTTAAATATCATACAATATATGACTGTGAGTTTTGTGGATTAACATGTATACTGTTAAAGTTTACAAATATATCATAAATTAAACCACACACAAAAAATCGAAACTGTAAATGATATATCAACTAAAATATGGCATACATTTGATGACGTTTGTTACTGTGTATGTGCACATATATAAGAATTTATATTTACTATTTAGTATAAATGCAAAAATGAACACCGACTTGATATAATATCTTAAATCCAATAATCTTCTTTTTGATATAATACTAGATCGTGACCCGCACGTACGTGCGGGGTTTCATATTTTAAGATATGTGTTATATAAAATATATAATCAATTTGTTTGTTTTTCGGAAGTATTTTAAATTTGTTTTTTTTGTTTCTGTTTTGGGAATTAGATAATAGAATAGATACCATAATAATAGAAATTAAATGGATATTTATATTCTGTGTGTTTAAATAAAATTTGTTACAAATTTTTTTTTCTGTTTGAATAGAATTAAAAGAAAAAATTAGTTACTTGTTTTTGGTGAATGATTGGATAGGTTTGCATGGTTTTGGTAAATAATCTATAGATAATTTGGTAAGTTTCAGATTTGGTGTGTTTTAGTTATAATCTTGTTTATAATTTTTTTATAGAATATTCAATTTTAATAAAATGTAAAACGATTTATTTGGTAATCCAAAATTATTGTTTATAACTTTATCCAAATTTAAATAAAAACTGTAGACCCAAATTTTAAAAAAGTGGCCCATAACTGTTATGTATCAGAATTTAATCTTGTATGGGCCGAAATATTTTTAGACCCAATTAATCTGACTATTGAAATCGATCCATGTTTTCGTTTTTGTTTGTATTTAATATATTACCGGATTTATGTTTTTTCATTTTGGATAGATAATTGTTAAAATAATTGTCTTATCGGTGAAAAAAAAACAACACCCTACAAATCTCAGGCGATTGTTCGATCGACGAATCAATTCCAAAATTGCCTGATAATCAAGCTATTACGTCTCCGTTTATCATCTTTTTATCTCAAATTCGGATTACTACAAAGAGGTAAGCTTTTTATTGATTCAGATTTAGGCAACTACTTATTTAAAAGATTTGTCAATTCGATTTCCACTCTTTGAAATTCTCTGTTTGAACAGAGTTCTTTAACTATGATTGTCAAGAACCCAGATCGTTACATATATTCGATTGGGTTTTTATATTAAACATATGTCTCTTTTTTTTTTCCGACAGATAATTGTTTTAGAAGAACTTTTGTCTTATAAAAGGAACCGGTTGCAAAGATGTATGATAATGAAGATACTACATCTCTGTTTATCATCTCTTAATCGGAAAATCTGAATTCTACAAAGAGGTAACCTTATAATTGAATCAAATATTGACTTTTACTATTTTCAAATGTTTCGATTCAAATTCCAATCTTAGAAATCTATATGTTTGAACAGAGGTATTGGGAAATGATTGTCAAAAAACCGATCTTATATGGGTAAGTATTGTGAATTTCAGATCTAAATTTTGATTTCAAATATTTTTTATCAGCAAATCCCAAATCGTGACAGGTTAATTTGAGTGTGTTAACTATAAAACCAATCTCTTTACATAAATCGTCAGTTGTCCGATATAATATATTTTGAAATTCGCTTTTCTATAGATATTAACTATAGATTTTGTCCATAGTGAGTATGGCTAGGCCAATATTCATGTCAGAGTTTAATATTTATGAAAAAGAGAGGTTTAATGTAATCTTTTAAGCTATTCAGAATCCTGAAACAATGTAAAAGGTTTCTTAGATGATATATGTTAGCTACTGTTATATTATTTTTGTATAGTTGATAAAAACATGTTAGCTACTGTTCATACTATTTTAATTTGATACAAACTTTTAGAATACAATTTTCTAAATTAGAGTTTCTAAATGTTAAATGTATACAAACTAAGCATAATCTCTGCGTTTAATGCTTATAGAGGTGGCTTCAAATAATGTCGTCTTTGGAGAAGATAGGATAACCCTATATAATGTTAAAGGTTAGTGAGATGATAAAGATTGACTATTTATTTTTAATTGTTATGAATAGAAAGCTACTCTTATACATTTAGAATTAGTAGTATTGTTATAGTCATTATATTTTTGGCATAGTATGTTAAAATGAGTTAACTATAAAGTCTATAATAGCTATTAGCAACACACTAATTTATATTGTTTGATAATACTTAATCAAACTTACTGATTATGCACATGTAAACGATACCTTCATATAGCCTAATAAGGTATAAGTTTCCTCATTGTTTGATAATGAGTATACACCTTTACTGCTGCTGTAAATGAAATAGTTTACATTTCATCTCCTCAAGATGATTAGGAGAACTCTCTGTTCTTGTCATATTTTCGTCGATCCAATGTTTTAACTGATTCTGCAAAGAAAAATATATTGTTGAAGTAAAACTGAATTAGATGAAAACCAAAATATGATCACAGAGGTGATAAAAATTGTTACCTCTTTTGGTAACAATCTGCTAAAAGGCATAGGTTTTGAAAAACTTCTTTGAACATATCACCCAAACTAATAACCTGACCAACCACATCTGAAAAATATATGAACAGGTATGAGTTAGATTTTTAGATCCTTCTTTAAACAATATATACGAAAATAATAGTAATGAAAAATACCAATCAAGATGTTTTCATCAAATCCTGTAACATTGAAAATGTCTCCAAAGTTAGCCAAATAAATAAATCTTGTTGGATTGAGAAAGATTGTGACTTATAATAGTCGTTTTCATGAGGGACATCTTAAGCCATGCTTTGTTGCCATGTATTTCCCATTGATTTGGAGTTCACTTGTTGTTTCTTAATGGTAGAATGATTCAAAGTTCACTGTAAAAAGCAACAAAACTGTATTATGAAGTCGATCTATAGATGATAACTATTAAATTGAAGAAAGAATAAGTAAGTTGAGAATTACGGATGTATCAGCAAGAATCATCTCCATGGTCTCCCCGTGTATTGGTTGTATTGAGTCCACGACAATTTTCACTTGGATCTTCCATTTAGTTTTGAAAGGTTTCATGTCATCATGATTGGTGATGGGAAGATTTGCAGCCATTTTTTAAAAATGAGTAAGAAAGGTATAGATGTCGTTTGCTAGCTTAAGGAGTCTTGAAGAGGGTATTAGACATCATATATAATTTGTAGGAAAAGAGGTCGGCTAGGGTTACAAACTATTAGATGTAATTCATGTAAAGAATATGCTTGTGAATCTATCTTTTGAATATATATTTTAGTTATATTCTTTATTTGAGAGCTAATGAATATTGTGTTTATGTAGAATTTGGATTTTTTTTGGTAACTGAATGATAACAAAATTAGATATCACCTTAACTATTGGGATACAATTGTTTTGATAATATCTTAACTTTGGTTTTATGGTATTTTTTCCAGATTGCCAAATCTCAACCGTAAGAATCAAACCAAGGATAACTGTGAAGTAATAAATTGTTATGTTTTTAACAGTCCATTTTGGATCCATAGGATCCGCGTGTCAATCCAAAAAATTAGCCCAGGATCCGAGTGCCTTTCCGATCGAGTCGCCCATGATCCATGGGTATTTTGCTTTTAAATTATGATTTTGCCCTTCAACGATTTTTTTCATTTACTCTTTGATTGTGATTATTCCAATGGCATCTTTTGTAATTCTTTATCCTTCATAAGGTTATTTATTATTCAATGCTTCCCAATTAATAGTATAGATACAGTTAATCAAATATCTATATAAAAAAAAAAAAAAAAAACCGTTTCTTCTCTCTCGCCATAGGCGATATCTTTCAAAGCCACCATTCCGAGCAAAGCCCTCCATCTTCATCGTTTCCGGCCGGCGTCGGCTTCTCTGGCGTCAGTCGGCCCCATTTCTTGCTTATTTAGGGTCTCCAATTTATGTTTATTGTATAGATCTAGTTTCTAATAACATCGGCAAGTTGGTTTTCATGGCTATTTGGTTGAAGTTAGTGATTCCGTGTGTCAATTCCTTTCTCTCGCTTCGAGAGTGTATTTTTCCGACTATAATCCAAGAGAATCGGAACATTGTCGGCGTCTCTCCGTCATGGTTTCACCAAGGCGGCTTCTGTAGTTTCATGTCTGCAACTTTTTGTTTCCACCATCAACGTATCATTCACTCAAACACCAATCTCTCCAAATCCCATATGGGTGATCAAACCCAGATTTGGGATCCAGGAGTATCCAATATTGGATCTGAAAATGGTGGAAATGAACTACGGCTAAATCGCTGCAACAATAGTCGTGATACACTCTTCTCGGCGAGGATCTCCAAAGGCATTTTGGAGTTTTAGCTATAAGCTGATAGCCAAGTATAAGTATGTGAAGGAGGGACATAACAGATTATATCTGTTAGCCTATAAGTCTAAAGATAGCATGGTTACTCTCCACTTCTTCGTCGAAATTGTAATGATTTCCTGTATTTGCGTAAACGTTTGTTTTGAGATGCTTATGTATCATGTAATCTTTTTCTGATATCAATATATTTGATTTGCCGAAAAAAAAAAAAACAAAATCAAATATCTAATTAATATTTCTTTATTAAATATAGATATTTTTGAATTTATTTAATAAATTTGCTCCATACTTTTAAGAAACAAATGTTTATAAAATCGTAAAATTAAGAGAGCGTTAAATTATAATGAATCATTTTGAATTAATTGTAATGTGAAAACTTTTTAGCAGCTAATAATTATATAAATAATTAAATACTCATCTTGATTTAAATTGAACAGTTCCTTATATTTAGAATAATGAAAACTACTTTAAAAAAAGCAATTCTAAGATATTATATTATTTAAATTCTAATTAAAATGTCAAATATTTTAATATATACTGAAAATATTTTCGAGATATTTTCGAATCTCAAATCCAAAAATTATTTGTGGAATATGCTACCTTTCAAAGGACGTAAATATTTAGTTTATATTAATATGGAAAATATAATAACTTTTATTTTTATTGTTTGGAAACAACCAATCAAATTTTAAAATCGTTTAGTTTTCCATGTGTACTAATCAGATTTAATTAGCATAGTTCTGTTAAGGAATTTGTTTAAAATTTAAACTAAATGATATTTTTTAATTAATCTGCTATTAAATTAGATTGTTGTTTCCGGAGGTATCTAATAATGCATTACCAAATTAAATAAGTTTAGTTGCCAAAAAAAAAAAATTAAATAAGTTTACAAATATACAGTTTCAACAGATTTCCATAAATATTGGATACTTATTATTTCTTATTTTGGTTCTTTAATTTCAGATTATTTTATAAACAAAAATCCGAGTTGTTTTCCGAATTTTATAAATTTGTATTCAAAATTTTGAGATACATATAAAAGGAATCTACTATTGCTATATAATTTGTTTGAATGAAAAATATATAAATATATATGAAAAACAGTGTGCAATCTATTATGGATTTATTTAAGAAACAATATATAAAATGATATTATTTTTATTTTTATGTTTGATATAGAATAGTCGATTATTGTTGGTTGGTTTAGATAAAACAAAATCGGACCTTCACACCTTTTGTAACGAACCCAAAATTCTAAAATCGAATTTAATTATCTATCGCAAATTATTATTTTTATTAATGGTTTCAAGCAAGTTTTACGATTTTTAAAATTTCTATATAAAAACTAATTTCCAAATGTTAATTAAATAATATAGTATAATTGGATATCAAATCTTATCTTTTCAATACTCATTGGTTAACAATTTTTTATAAATTTAAATCTAATTTTCGTCCATAATTAATAAGATTGAGAAAGTGAATTTAATTTTTTTTGTAAACTAATAGCTAGTTACTTAAAAAAATTTTACGATTTTTTATTTAAATATATTAATTTTGTGATTACTATATATTGTATCTTTAATGAATTTATTTAAAAACACTAAAAACAAATGGCATACTATATGTATAATATTTTACATTATTTAAGGTTATTTTCTGTCAAACGATTCCCAGTTGAGAAAAAACTTTCGTTCTGATTTTTCATTTTTAAATGAGAAATAATTATAATACTTATATATTTTTAAACTAATTTCGTTGGAATAAAATCTTCAACTAGAATATAACTGGAATATACCTAGAATTCTCTCCTCCCTATATAAAACATTGATCACATCATACAATATCATTTACAAGAAACTATTAGAATTCTTAGACACCAATTCACAAATGGAGTTGAATCGTTTAGCACTCGTTTGCTATGTAGTGGTGTTGATAAGCATCTTTTCGGTGACTCACGGCGGAGTCACTTCTAACTATGTTAGAGTATCGGAACCTTCCGAAGAAATGCCACTGGAAACATTTCCTCCTCCTGCCGGCTACAACGCTCCGGAACAAGTGATTCTTAATTTCTCTTTATGAAATCATTTTTTACAGTTTTTTGTTTTTTTTATCATTAACTTATGAGCGTTCACTCTTGCTCCTTTTCTCAGGTTCACATAACGCAAGGAGATCACTCTGGTCGAGGTATGATCATCTCGTGGGTAACACCATTAAACGAGGATGGTTCTAACGTCGTTACATATTGGATCGCTGGTGGTGATGGTACTGATAATAAGAGTGCTATAGCGACAACTTCGTCCTATCGATACTTCGATTACACCTCTAATTATCTTCACCATGCCACCATAAAAGGGCTCGAGGTATCGTAAATTTACTGTCTCCCAAGTAATATCTCTACTTAAAAAGGTTTGTAAGTAAATTAACCTTTTTTTTGTCTTTCTTCCTTATTTAGTACGAAACTAAGTATTTCTACGAGCTTGGAACCGGTCGCTCTACTAGACAATTCAACTTCATGACTCCTCCAAAAGTCGGTCCAGATGTTCCCTACACATTCGGTGTTATAGGTACGTAGTCCATAGATTCATCATTTCAACTATGAGTTTTAATCTTTTGAACCTAATTTCATTAATAAACCTTAACTTTTTTTTAGGTGATCTTGGACAAACCTATGCCTCTAACCAGACATTGTACAACTACATGTCGAACCCAAAAGGCCAAGCGGTGCTTTTCGCTGGAGATTTGTCTTACGCTGATGACCATCCTAACCACGACCAAAGAAAATGGGATTCATACGGCCGATTTGTAGAACCAAGCGCCGCGTATCAGCCTTGGATTTGGGCCGCAGGGAACCACGAGATAGATTACGCCCAGAGCATAGTAAGATCTAATCTATAAATCTATTTCCATACATTTTTAGGTTTAGTGTTAAACCATTAAATCCGCTTGCAGGGAGAGACTCAACCCTTCAAGCCGTACATGCACCGTTACCACGTTCCTCACAAAGCCTCACAGAGTACATCTCCACTTTGGTACTCAATCAAACGAGCCTCCGCATACATCATCGTACTCTCCTCTTACTCAGCTTATGGTACGATCTAAGACTCACACTCTACTATATATTAATCTATATTACAATGTTAATGTTTTTCTTGTGTAACACGTTACCATAGACAAGTACACGCCACAGAACTCTTGGCTCCAGGATGAGCTCAAGAAAGTTAACCGATCAGAGACTCCGTGGCTGATTGTTCTGGTTCACGCTCCATGGTACAACAGCAACAATTATCATTATATGGAGGGTGAGAGCATGAGAGTTACGTTCGAGCCATGGTTCGTCGAAAACAAAGTCGATATTGTCTTTGCTGGTCATGTTCATGCCTACGAGCGATCAGAGCGCGTCTCCAACATTAAGTACAATATCACTGATGGATTGAGTACTCCGGTGAAAGATCAAAATGCTCCGGTTTACATCACCATTGGAGATGGAGGAAACATAGAAGGAATCGCTAACAGGTTAAAATTAAAACATTATACAGTGACTTTGATTAAACATTTTGTCTCTTTGTTGTTTGATTAAAACCATCTAATTTTTCATGCAGTTTCACCGATCCCCAACCAAGTTACTCGGCGTTTAGGGAGGCGAGTTTCGGACACGCTCTTCTAGAGATAAAGAACAGGACTCATGCACATTACACTTGGCATAGGAACAAAGACGATGAGCCTGTTATTGCCGATGCTATTTGGTTGAAGAACAGATATTACTTGCCGGAGGAGGAAACAGCTTAGGCTCGAGTTTTTCTTTTAGGAATATTTATTTCTCTTTTTAATAATAAGACTAGTGAAGTGTTATAGTGTTCTTTGAACATTGGTAGGTTTTGCTTAGTTTTCTTTCTTAAGTTTTATTTCGATTGTACTGGATTTATTTAGTTAACGAAATGTGGAAACCATTTCTCTTTCAAATAATTCCACTATCCTACACATCATTTAGCTTGTCTCCAATATATTAATATCAATTGAAAAAATAACTTGAGGATAAGATCACCATACAACAAAATCTTATTAATGAGATTCGATATTCCAAAATGTTGTTACGAACAGTTTTGATATTTTTGTTTTTTTTTTTTTTGACAGGATATTTTTGTTTAATTTGGTTATATTCCGAAATTTTGTTAACTAAGAACAGTTTTGATATTTTTGTTCGGATTGCAGCTAAAATCAAAATAATAATATTTAGTTAGATCATAAATTCTAAGTTAGTTGGAGATCTCCTAATTAATATCCGTCGAACTTTCAAATTTTAGCAACAAAAAAAAACCATAATTGGTACAAAATACACAAAACATTTATTATATTAAGAAATATGATAAGTAAAGAAAACGACACGTAGGTGGCGCAATGTTCCCTTGCATAGCCACACTACATAGTATATACTATATACTTTACAAATTAGAGTAACATGCTTCTATTATCTTTCCGTTCAGTGTATATTTTAAAATTCTGTGCATATATGTACATGGGATCTGAATTAATTACAAGTAAACTTTTTTTTTACAGCAACAGTAAAGTTCTCTAAGAGATGAACTTTTTTCAAATCAAATACATACAACAATTTACCAAACGGTGAGTGATTGCATGTGCATAGTGGTGTATTAAATTGTTTTATCAACCATTGTTTAGGTTTCTTTTCTTTTTCGTATTTTTTTTTTTTTGAATAACCGCGGGTCTCCGCAGGCTTCCTAGGCCCAAAGACTAATCTCACGAGGCTGGCAATTCCCCTATGTAAATCTGTCAATGGCCTTGCCTCGAACCCTGGTTGCGAAAGTTACAGCTGTAACCCCTTTACCACTAGGCCACAAGGCCCGGTTTAATTTCCAATTACCTTAACTAAAACTTTTATACGATTAACTAAGTAGAGCTTGGGATGGTGTATATTAATATTTACATTGGGACACAACCTATAGCGACTTTTCGGGGTAAATCACTGCCACGTGGCAAGCTATGGTCCATGAGATGAGTACTAGTGATGAACATAGAGTTAGAGAGAAAGAGAAACAAGAAGATAGAAAATATAGGAGAGGTAGAGAGAAAGGGAGAAACGTTCTTTGATTGATTTTGTTTTGCTTTTAGAAGAACTAGAAGCATTTTGCTTCACTTTGGATTCACAAAATCTGCAAAAATCCATATCTAAGAGAGAAACAAACATAAAATTTTGGCTATTGGCAAGGGAAAAGAAGAGAGAAAGCTACTAAAGAGAGACTAAGGAGAAAAGAAAAAAGGCAACGCGGCCCGAGTTATCAAAAGCTCAAGACTTCATGGTAACTAGGGTTTTTGAATTATGGATATTGTAAACTCAAGATTAGGGTTAGAGGAGGAGCTAGGTCAAAGTTTGAAATGGCTGGGATAGGATCATCAAGAAACAACGAAGAAGACAATCAACAAAACACAAACTGGGTTTGGTACAGAAACACCAATAATAACCCAAGTACGAGCCACAACAATCAGATATGGCAGCAGCCAAGCCTCGATCTATATCCGGGTCAGATGGACGTCTGTGATTTGACCACGTCATCCAGATCCCTAACCATAAGCTGTCAAGACTGTGGAAACCAAGCCAAGAAAGGGTGCACGCATGGACGGTGTAGAACTTGCTGCAAGAGCCACGGGCTCCACTGTCCTACTCACGTGAGGAGCACGTGGATCCCCATCGCCAAACGCCGCGAGCGGCAGCAGCAGATACAGACGCCAATCTCCAACCGAAATGGCGGTGGCCACAGAGTTGGGAACATCCCAACACCGTATAGAGAGATTGATCAACCGGCTAACTCATCAGGTTTGAATTATGCTTTCCATATATATATATATATTCCCTGCATAATTGAATCAACCGACTATATAGTCCCTGCATAATTGATTTTTATGGTAAAGATATTAAATTTTATCTTTATTTTCATAAGTTAATGCAACACTTTTTCTTTGATCAAATCCAACAAATTAGAAATAGAAATTCTATTTCAAAATAATGAAATAATTACTTCCTTCGTTTTTTTTTTGAAACAATCAACATTACTTTTTTTTTTGTTTTTTTTATAGCATTTGATATATGTTAGTTGAATAGTGTTTGCACTAAGTTTGTGTAACTTTGCTAGGGTTAGAGATGGGAGAGGCAACATTTCCAGATGAAGTGAGCTCGGATGCACTTTTCCGGTGCGTCAGAATGAGTGGTACCGATGATGGAGAGGGCCAATTCGCATATCAGACGACGGTGGGCATAGCTGGTCATCTCTTTAAGGGAATTCTATATAACCAAGGTCCGGAAAACATGTCCATGCCTTAAAAAATTTCAATTTTCTTTTTATTTATTTTTTTGTATGCAATGTTCTCTATAAAAACTTAATTTTTTTTATACAAGATCATCCAGAACTCAGTATTTAACAAATGAAGTAACTCTGTGAGTTGTTATGTTAGAGAGAATACAATAACATATATGCTTGGACTGCAATTTGACTGACTTTTGGTTAAATTTTGTTTCAGATTTATGCTGATTAATTATTGCTAGTTGCTTCTGGTAATATAAATTGGAAATAAAATCTAGGACATTTAGTGTAAATATATGTATAGCCACAATAACATATTAGTTAGATCTGGGCATTAAGATTTCGGATCGGATTCGGTTCATTGGGAATATTTGCGGTAAATATTCCTGCAAAGAAGAATGTCAACTGTGCAACCATAATTATAGTTTTCGAAAGAACAAAATAGATATAGAAATTAGAAATATAATGTAACAAATAAATATTCCTTCAAATCGTATTTTATCCATGTATTTCTTAATATAATGGAAAAATTTAGACTAAAAAAAGAACAAAATTGATATACTGTAGAATTTTTTTTTTTGTCAATAGATGATTAAATACGAAAAAGACTACTCATGACACGTGATTTATTAAATTGTGTAACGTGCCTATGCATGATTAGGGATTGAATATAGCTGTAAATTCCAATAAATGAGGTTGATGGTTATTGGCTACTAGCTCTAGCACTGTAAATCTTGTACGGATGTATTTGTTATCTATTCTAAGTATTTATTTAGCCCTCGAGTCGTTCCAAGCGCGGAAGCATAAGTTCTCATCATATACTATTTCATGCCAAAGTCAAGACTAAGCTCTATAACATGTACAAAACCACATATTTTTTTCTTTAGCATTTGAAGTGCCTATCATGGTCAAAAAGGTAGCGAGACATAAGATGAGGTTTGAACTTTGAATTTGTTAATCTGATTAAGATAGTATATGCGTACAGTCAGATTTTTAATTACAATTACCAGCCACTAAGTAACGGTCATATCGCTGAAAAGTTCAGATCCGTCGTTAAAATTTATTAGCAGTGGAATTATTTCCGATGCTAATTGATCATTTTTAGAAAATTTTAAAAATACAATATTAAATAAGTTGATTATGTTGAAAAATCTTCAAAAGATATAAAAGACCAATACAAAATTTCACCATTAGACAAGTTAGTTTGTGCAAAGTTTATTGATATCATCATTATATGGCTATTTCTTGTGATCGAATTACTTTTAGTTGGAAAAGTAGATAGATTTGCACTATAAAATATAAAATATATTTTTGTTTTCACTACATTAGATGGAATTTGAAATTGAAGTCACGACATTGCATGTAAGCGTGGACAAAGATAAGCCACAAGACTACTCGATTTTAATCTTGTTAGTAATTAGGACTAGATCTTAGTCTTAAAAACATCAAAGTTTTAATTAATTTGATCTACCTATTTTCCAACTTTTCTTTACTTAACACAACGAACTCCAACCTAACGTTACAACTCGTAACTTACGAGTTACGGTTATCTCCACTCTTTGCGGCCTACATAAACCAAACATTTTGTTTACATATCAATTTATTTATTATTCCAAATTTGAGAGTATTTCTTTCATCATAACCTTTGCCTTTCTCGAGTTAAAAAAAAAAAAAAAAAAAAACCCTTTGCCTTTCTCAAGATAGAAAAATATTGTAACAAGAGCAAATGGAAGTATTATTACTATTCATTTTTGTTTTAACTGAATATATCCAATTATAAGCAACTCCATAAGTAGAGAAAGAATCCATATTGAAAACAAACATAGACATGTAGAAGTAATTAAATGTAAAGCGTGGTCTATAAATATGTTGATTAGTGTTGACCTTTCGTTGACTTTTTATCACACCCGGGAAACCAACAACCACCATCGTTTTTAGGACGCCATACTCCTCCGTTGCTATCTCCTCGCCATCCCCATCATCCTGCGCGTCGTGCTCCATTTCCTACTGGCCATACACGTCCATATCCATACGCATATCATCCACCTCCGCCACCGCCTCCTGCACATCCTCCTCCTCTTCCACCGCCACCACCAAGTCCACCTCCACCACCTCCGGATCCAGGGCTAGGTTCATCACCTCCTATACCTATACCAATACCAACACCATTACCATTGTTCCTATCATTGCAATCTTCTTTTCCACCGTCGTCACCTTGTCCTTTGCCATTTCTTCTTCCGCGGCCTCCTCCTCCTCCACCACCTCCTCTTCCGCCATCTCCCCGACTTCCTCCTGATCCATTACAACCTCCACAGCTTCCTTCTCCACCGCTACAACCTCCACAGTCTCCATCTACATTACCTTCTTGCACTCTTCGTGCTTTGTTATATCCACTTTCAAACATTTTGTTGGAACCCAAAACGGAAGATTGATCAGTACTATTAAAGACTCTCCTCACGGGTCTATATCGCAGTCCGTGAACAGAGCTTGAACTCAACAGCAACAACACAACACCAAAAACTAACAAGAACACCACAAAGCTTGACATTTTCACCAATATCTCCATCAAGACTTTTCTCAAATTAAGTCCTGTCCATTCCTCTCGTTTTATACTCTTCGAAAACCCAAACCAAAACCATAATAATTAAATTGAGCAACCAAATGAACATGCCTTACCCATATGAAACCTACCATCTTTGTTATATTTTCTTTTTGAGGGAACTAAATAAAGACTACAAAAGGACATGAACCCGTATAAAGCTTGCAGAAATATTGCGTCATGTTTAAGGTCCTTGTTCTCGACTTCTCATATTCTCTCGATTTTGACTTTTTTTTTGTAATCATATTTCATAATCATAGAAATCAAGCTAATTTGAAATCAAACTTAGGATTTTCGTATTTGAGGTTTGGTGGAAACTTTAAACCATTACTGAACAAAATATCAAAATGAATTAGAGATGGCAAAAGCCCTTCCACATAGTCGTATCAAAACAGTAACAGAAGGATATAGAAGAAGAAGAAGAAGAAGAAGAAGAAGAAGAAGACAACAATAACATCATAAACAGTCCTTCGTTCAAGCTTTTCTCCATCCTCCTGCATTTTCAATTCCAATATCCATAGTTAGTTACACACGGCATTATCGTATAAAAAAGTTAAGTGGTTGAGAAAAGATTCATGAAACTTACATATCTTGTTGAAGGCAACAATGTCACAACTCTGGACAAATTCATTGATTGGTTCAACAGTGAGTTGCTCTTCGATCATGGTGTCAATAGACACAAGGTCATCAACAATGGTGCACATGATCTGCAATTTCTTGATACCGTAACCAACTGGTACAAGTTTTGATGCTCCCCAAAACAATCCTTCCATCTGAATCGATCTTACAGATTCCTCTAGCTTCTTCATGTCGGTCTCATCATCCCACGGCTTGATATCAATTAAAACTGATGACTTTCCGGCTGACGAATTCAAAAAAGAAACCAGATGAGAAATCCAAGACATTCTTGTATCATTAAAACTACGAAATGTAAAGCAAATCCACAAACTTACATTCCTTCTTCTTTGTAGATGCCTTCACAGAAGCAGCTCTCTCTTCAGCAGCTTTCTTTTCCTCTTCGGTCTCCTCCCCGAAAAGGTCAACATCATCATCATCTTCTTCATCAGCCGCAGCATCCTACAATTACCCATATACATACATATGAATCTCCCCGATGTACAACTTAAAGAGAGCATTATGATAAACCATAGAAAAAATCGAGACTACCTTAGAATCAGCTGCAGGGGGAGAAGCAACAGCCTCTTCTGTGATCGGTGATGATCCCTCAACAATGACACCACTTCCTTCAGCAGAGACACCACTGTAAAAAGAGACACAAGTTACATGGAAACAACATTCTACTAATCCAAACACCGGAAACTTTAATCTATGAATATGCGTGAAACAATAGAAGGTAATGATGGAGCTTACGAGATCCTCAAGAGGGCATCGATGTGGTTGAACCAACGAGAAACATTCACATACTCTAAAGTTGGGGGCTTTGAAAGAGCTGTAAAAACAGTGATATCATCCTTTGAAGCTTGGTACCTATAAACATACATACATAGAGACAAAGGAAACTAATGGTTACTACTCTTGTTTGAGAAAAAGATAGATAATTGAGAAAGCCCTTAGAATGGGAAAAATATCTAACCCAGTGATGTAACTGCGAGTGAGAAGATGCTCATCGAGCTTCTTCAATCCAGAAGCAGAGTTGAGGTTGGGGAATGTTGCCATTGTATCTAAAGCTTGAACCTTTTCAGTGATATAAAGCAGAGAGATCAGATCAGATCAGCTAAAACTCCTAACGATGCAACAAAAACGAAACTTTCTACTGCTTAAAACTAGATCACAGCAACAGAAAATCGAACAGACGAACCATAGATTCAAAAAAAAAACGTCAACTAGATTTAGATTCACAAACATTGAAATTTTGAGTTCTAATCACATAATTTTACGTTTTATGTCCCAAAGCTGTAAACTTTGAGGTCGAAACAAACATAATTGGAAGCGAAAGAAGAAGTGAATCGAAGAAGAAGGAGAAGAAACAAACCTGTAGTAATAAAGGAGCCGACTTGAAGAGGAAGAGCGAGAGAGAGGTAGAAGATGAATAGGCGTAGAGAGAGTTAAAAGGTGATAAATTTAACCCTCCCAGATTTTTGTGTAATGGGCCTAATTTGGGCCTAACATTTACATTTTTAGCGGATTAATTCTCTATCAATTCTGATTTTTGACTTTGGGGTTTGCTTTTTTGGCCTTTCGTTTTTGTATGTGTGAGTGTGACATCGAATTAGAATGGTTAGTGCGAAAATGTAAAAGTTACATATTAAGTAACTATTTTTACCTATATTTTCAAATAGAATAAGTAATTAGAATAACCTAAAATATTGTTTCCCAAATTTTTTTGGCTTATGAAATAATCAAGTACTATTCTTTAAGATTTTCCGAATTCGCAAAAATCAGTACGTTCGATGTTTGCTTCACTACACAAAATATTTTTTTTATTCTTGCAAGAGAAACAGTATAAAGTTTTAGTTGTTAAGATGATGAATGTGGATTTTTTACTCAGAATTGATTGAGGGTAATAAAGACTCGTTCATGTTTTTATATATTCGGGCCAAGTCAATAGAACCAATATCGGACCGAATCGATTGGTCCAGATTAATTAGGTATTTGTGTGTTTGAGCTTTGGTACTATGTGAACAATTATGAGTGATTCGTCTATGTCGCATATATTACTCAAAATCTCATCTTATTTCCATTGTGAGATCCTTAATATAACTCGATTTTGAATTATTGGCATATACTTCTATAGATCATTGTTTGGGGTCTATTCACACAAATTTATAAAAAAAATGACACTGAGCTGTTGTCAATTTTTAAAATTATCATAGTATAAAGTTTATTTTCCAAATGTCGTTTTATGCGACAATTAGAAGATATATGTATACCTTTTTCACAAAATCTGTCAACTGTTTCAAAAAAAAGAAAGTAAAACCTATCAACTTGTATAAATTGTATTATCATCTTATAATTAAAGTTGGCCGCACGAGAGAGGACGAATGTCAACAACTTGGAGGAAATGAGTCATGCTCTTTTTATCATTCGCTAACAAACTTATACAAGATGATTTTTTAATATTTATGTTGATCTCTACTTGTGTTTGAGGTTAGGTGTTTTTTTTTTTTGGATTTGAGTATTTAGATTTTCATATATAATCATTGTGTTGGGTTAATTCTGGAGATGAAACTGTCCGCTAAAGAATTCTTAACATGAGTGCGTCCACAAAATTTGAACCTAGTACTATACGAATGTACCGTTTGTCCCATATACCACATACCAAGTATATTTTGATTTACTGTAGGTTAATCTTTTCATCAAATATACCAAGTTATATATAATTTTTATACAAAATAAAATTATTGTAATGTTTCTTTGACAAAAGAGAAAGAAAGAGGAAGTAATGTTGGGTAATGCCATTTTAAGTGAATCTTCCAGAAATTTCATCCGAACAATATATGAAATTTTATGAAATAACAATTCGTGTATCGTCAAAAGTGAATTTGATACCAACAAAAGAAGAAGTGAATTTGATAAGCAAACATTAGAACTTCGGAAAACAAAATAAATGGAATTTAAAATTTAAAGGTTATTTTCCTTATTAATCTTGGTGCAATTTTTTTTATTTTTTTTGTCACGAATCTTGGTGCAAATTAAAAGGCTAAAATCATGTTTCTTTTATATCCTATCACCTAAATTTATTTCACTTTCAACATAAGAGCATGTACGAGATCAATATGTAAAAGTGATAACTAGATCTCTTGGTTGCCCAACAACAAATTATCATAAGAACGTAGAAGAAAGGGGGCCCAAATCATGCCAAAGAAGTTGGTCTCTATATAATATAAAATGGTATATATGTTAAGTAATTAACAGAAATGCATGTATGAATAAACATGTTTTCACTCGTAAGATCATCAAATCTATGAGTGTGGAAATCAGTATGTCTAACGATGGACCAATATTTTATACATAATCTAGTGCAACATGATTCTATATATCAACACGAAAATACTTCATTTTGTAAAAGTCAAGTGGTTATTTTATAGAAAAAGTCCACTCTTTGATAGAGAGAGCGCCCATTTGATCACTATAAAAACTACCATTAGCCTAAATATCACATCACCTCGAAAATTAAGTGAAAAAACCTAACAATGGAGTCTCTATTACCACAAACACAAGTAATCGATCCCACAACGATGGCTCTTCTCATCACCGTCTCTCTTCTCTTCATAGTATACCTCATCTCGAGATGGCGTGAACCGCTCTACCCTCCTGGTCCCAAAGGCCTTCCCATAATTGGAAACATGCTCATGATGGACCAACTTACACACCACGGTCTAGCCAAGCTGGCCGAAACATACGGGGGCTTGTTCCACCTAAGAATGGGGTTTCGCCATGTGTTTGCCATCACATCACCCGACGTGTCCCGACAAGTTCTCCAAGTTCAAGACATCAGCTTCTCCAATCGGCCCGTGACAATAGCCATAAACTACTTAACCTACGACCTAGCCGACATGGCTTTCGCTCCTTATGGACCCTTTTGGAGACAAATGAGGAAAGTATGTGTCATGAAGGTGTTTAGCCGTAGGAGAGCTGAGTCATGGGCCTCTGTCCGCGACGAAGTAAACAAGATGGTCCGGTCTTTGTCTAGCAACGTCGGTAATCCCGTGAACGTTGGAGAGCTCATTTTCACTTTGACACGGAACATAACGTACCGAGCAGCGTTTGGTGCGGCATGCGAAACGGAACAAGATGAATTCATAAGGATCTTGCAAGAGTTCTCAAAGCTATTTGGAGCATTCAACGTTGCGGACTTCGTACCGTTCCTAGGCTGGTTCGATCTGCATGGGATAAACAAGAGGCTCGTTAAGGCACGTAACGATCTTGACGGGTTCATTGATGAAGTAATCGATGAGCATATGAAGAAGAGAGAGATTGTGAACCACGATGATGAAGATACTGATATGGTGGATGATCTACTTGCGTTTTATAGCGAAGAAGAAAAGTTAGTGAGCGAGGATTCTTCAACTAATCGAAATAAGAACTCCGTCAAACTCACACGTGATAATATCAAAGCGCTCGTCATGGTAAAGCCAAAATGTTATAACATTTTTCATTTGTATATTTTTCTTAATAATCAATGTTTTTTTTTTGTTAACACAGTTTTATTAGATTAGCTTAAAATAACCAATTATGAGGAATATTGTTTACATAGGTGATTAGATGCGGTTGGGTACGAATTTTTCGTGTCAAGTTATCCGTTTAGTTATAATCATTCCTCATAATTAACACTTTTACTTAACGTGATATTTAGCATATTATCATACAAAAGTTATAATTTCATAAACATATACTTCGGTTCATACTAAAGTATATTTGATATTTCGTCGACCAAATTTTGTTTTTGATAACCTATTTCGACCTAAATTACAAAAAAGTATTCGAAATTCATAGCTTTTATATATTGGAGGATTATTACGTATATATTCGTTGGAACAATTATCAGTAGAAATGAATTTTTTCTTGTCTATATACTATATATAATATCATTTTGGTTATGTACATATGCTAGATATAATTAAACATTATAATTATTAGTTCGATATATATATTTATTAATTCTTTTGTGGTTGAAGGATGTTATGTTCGGAGGAACAGAGACGATGGCGTCAGGGATAGAGTGGGCTTTGACGGAGCTCTTACGTAATCCAGACGAACTCAAACGGCTCCAACAAGAACTCGCCGAGGTCGTGGGTCTTGACCAGCGCGTGGATGAGACGCACCTCGAGAAACTAACTCTCCTCAAATGCACACTCAAAGAAACCATGAGGCTCCACCCACCGATCCCACTCATCCTCCACGAGGCCATTGAGGACACGAAACTCCAAGGCTTCTCCGTGCCTAAAGGCTCGCGATTGATGATCAACGCCTTTGCTATCGCTCGTGACCCGAAACTATGGGTTGAACCTGAAGCGTTTAAGCCTTCGAGGTTTATGGAACCGGGTATGCCTGATTTCATGGGGACTAACTTCGAGTTTATACCGTTTGGATCGGGTAGGAGATCGTGCCCGGGAATGCAGCTTGGGCTTTACGCGATGGAGGTTGCTGTGGCTAACATCATTCATACTTTCAAGTGGCAGTTGCCCAAGGGGATGAAACCGAGTGAGCTTGACATGAGCGACGTCATGGGACTAACCGCTCCCAGAGCCACACGCCTCATTGCCGTGCCTAACAGGCGCCTCACTTGCCCTTTCTAACTAACGTTTCAATGTGCATCAGTTTTGATTTTCTGTTAAATCTTGGTTTATCTTGTGTTTTACCTCGAATGATTGCTGAAAATATGTACAATATATCACAAAATAAATATGGAAAATCGTCATTTATATTAGTAATCTACATACATCTACTATCGACGTATAGAGAAAAAAAAATAGGACAAAGTATTAAGACCACGACGTTTAACTAAATACAAAGGTGTGTTGAAAGTTCAATTAGACAACAAGGGTCGACAAAAAGCTCCTTTATTATGTCAACAGAGTTTCACCGATGTTTTTTCGATAAAAACTAGAACATGTAGGGTTTCAAAAATGAGGGAACTTTTCATGTAAAGAATTGTGGGAATGTGATAGTGTATAATTTGTACGCACCTGAGGAGAAAATGAGAGAAGAAGGGAAATGATGTTTCGTGTTGCCTGATTCAGCAGTCATGAGTGTTAATCAGATCTAGTGTATGAATATGGATGAAAATGGGATATGATCCTAATAATAAATGTTGGGTTTAGTTAGAGAGTGTCTCGAAAAACGGGGTAAGAGTTGACGAGTTCGAGTCTTTCCAGGATATGTTGAGTTTTCCATAGGTAAGATGAGTGACCTTCCACCATATCGGTTACATCCACCTGCAAATGTGATGATGATTAGTCTGATTATTTCTATAATGTCACTTCCTACGAATTGATGATGTACACAAAGAGAGAAAAATGAGATAAGTTACATCTTCGATCCCCGGTATACAGACCGGTTGGATTCCAGCTAATCCTTGGGACAACAGACTGCAAAAATTAAGAAAGGAAAAAGTTTGGGTTTGCAGGTGAAATGGGGAATAGAAAAACAATTCAACAAACCTTGCACGAAATGCAACTCCAAGGGTCCAATCATTTGTGGCGTAAACATTAATGAATCTTCCAGCCACCATCTGGTAACCGACAAAAACGACTTGTATAAGATGAAACAGAACACCAAAAGATGGATTTGTTTCCAAGACTGTGACACCCTTGCTAAGGGAACTCTCATCAAGAAGGTTTATTACCTTTCTTACATCTCGCCAATTCTCATTCTTGATTGAAATTGGTGCTCCAAGAAGAACAACTCTTTCCACAATTTCAGCTACCGTGAATAATGTGTTAAGACAACTAGACAAGACTCAACTGACAATTCTAAAGAAACAGAGATATGAGAGGGAGAAATACCATTCTTTTCAGTCTCGACCAGAGTCTGGAGGCACTTAAAGACGACACGCGCACCAAGCGAAAAACCAACGAGAGTCACAGGTCTGAATTCCTCACAATTTTTCCAAAATTAACATGCTGATGTAAAGTTCTAATTGCAAAACTTCATATCATAAACATCTGATGGAATTTCTCCAATAATTATACCTATTTCCTTGCAACCCTTTTCGAAGCGCTTCAGCAAGAAGTTTTCCTGCTTTGTCTGACCTGAAATAGGATAATACAAAAATAATAGCCATAAACTTAGTTGCCGTAATGGTTGCATCACATTTGTAATTCATTTCACAAAATATTTTCTTTGTACCTGTCAATAGCGATACTCCATTTACTATCTATGAAATCAGCAGCTACAAGGATTGTAGCCGGCCATGCCATTGCTGCTAAAAGCGAGTTTAGTACGGTGTGCATTGCACCTTGTCTCATCAACTCCATAGCAACTCCTGCAACAATTTCATGTCGATGTTACTATTTATTCTCATGGGAATGCCAAAAAAGATATAGATTTACATGGTTACGCGTAGTGGATAATAATATTACTTGAAGTAAGCCAATCCTGAATTGCAGTGCTCACTGCAATAATATTCTTGGATTCCCAATGCACCGTGTACCTAAGAAGCAATTATAGCAAACATATGAATATTATGAATCAGTAGAATCAGTCACAAATATGTATGCGAGAACAACTCATGTTAATACCTTTCCAAGTTGCTAGTTAACCCCTCCCAGGGTTTTACAAAGTCTTCTTCCTTTAAAACAAAGCCAGCAACTAAGATCTCCACCGCTAATCGCTATTACACCAACAAAAAAAACAAGAAAGACGTCATTCTCAAAGTCGGATTAATGCAGAGAAAAGAGATTTCAACATAAAGCACAGACACTAGTCAATTTGCCCCAAAGCAAAACTATCGTTGTAGTAATCTAGCAGCAGCAGGAAATGAAAACTAACTCCTTGATTATGATTTTCTCCAATAGCTTTAAATTCAAACTCCTCAATGTCCCCAGTTCTCCTAGCCATCTTAGTCCCTGTGAGCCCAGCTCCAGCAGCTATTCATGAACATATATAGAAACAAAACATAATAAGATAAAGAACTAACCAATTTTCATCACTATGATTCTTTTTTTTTCTTTAAGGAAGCTCAAACTAAGGTCTACTATTTATTTACCTCCAAAAGATGCTGCAACAGCAACAGAACCAGCAACAGTTCCCGCAGCCTCAGCAGCTGCAGCAAACCCACTGGCTCCAATTACCGGAACCATCGTGCCTAGTGTTGGTGCCAATGCACCGAACCCTGCAGCGATTGCTGGAGCAGCCAATCCTGTTTCATATAATATGTAATCAAAACAAGTTAGGAATTAGCATTTTCCAAAACGTGGCAAGGGATTAACATTTAGAAGACCATACCCCCAGTGATGGCCATCAAAGTACCCCCTGTTAAAGCAGCCGCTCCAACGATGCCTCCACGCTTCCATTTAGCCCATTCACTAGTTGGTGACAGAGACTCTTCTTCCTTATATCCACTTGACTTTTGCAATGCCATGGCAGAGCATGCAGACATCGTTTCAACTGCTTCCTAGAAATAACAGTATTGATTCTCAGGTCAATTCAAATGCACAAAAACAGAGAATACATGATTAGAATTTAGAGCTTCTTAACACTTCTTAAATATGCCAATATCATCAAATCCTAGATCCTCAACAAGTATTATGGAACTATGAGCTTGCTATGCTATGTGGTAGCATAAAATTTACAAAATAATTTGAATGAATGAAGCAAACAAACCATTTTAATCCACTGAAAGTCAAACCACGTCGCTAGTAACCGCAGAGCAACATGGTGACGCGCATCATAGCCTTTCCTACGCCGTGTACATTTCTCGTTTTCCTCATGTTTATCTGCCAAGCAAGCAGAAAGTAGCTCGTAAAGAACATTTATCTTCCTCTCATGGCTAAGCAATGCTACTTCCCCAACAGGTTTCTCATGTTCAACAATCCCAGGATTGTGACCTCCATCTTTAACTTCACTCTGCCCATGGCTCTCCACTTCCTTAACCTCAGCACCAGACTGTACCTCGGGAACATAATACTTCTCACGGCATTCGTTTTCGAATTCCACATGTTTCTCCATCTTAGCTTCCACAGATACAGAGCTGCTTCGAATGTTTTGAACCATAGCTTCAGCAGCTTTAGCTAAGGCGGTCTCTTTCTCCACCATATCACTAGAATTATCATCATCATCACTCACATCCTCTGAGAGTAACTTGATGAACTACAATAAACCAAAAGTAACAGCCAATGAAGACGAGCTCCTCAACACATACAACGAATTTTTAAGATACAGAGGGAAATTAGTCATACCGCACCGATGTGATCCTTAGCCTGAGTAGAAGCAGATATCTCCTCAAGGCCATGCCAAGCTGAGGAATCAATCTGAAGACATCTGAAAGCAAATTACAGAGACAGCTCAAAATGTATACATTACACCACACACACAGAAGCATATTAACATGACAATTCCAGATGATTTGTCATCAGGGCCGGCCCAAACTATTTGAGTGCCTAAAAAGACAAATCATCTGGAATCATATAAAAAGAATACCAGAGTCCAAGATCACCTGAAAACAGGTCGGATGAGGCCGGAAACTTCGTGGACCCAAAGATCCGCGTCATCGGAGATAGGATCACCGTCGCTGCTGATTGGCTCTCTGGTATGGCTATTCTCAGACTCTCCGTTACCTCCGCCGTGGTCGATGGCCGGGATTCCGAATAGCTTAGTCTGGCTGATCTGCGCTTGGTTGAGCGCGATCGCAAACAATGCGCTTGCCGCATATCTCTGCGATGGCGTCAAATTCGACGTAGCTTCCACCATCAAATCAGATCAACCAAAAACGAAATTGAAGAAACAACAAAAAGTTTCCAAAAACTAGTAGAAAAAACTCTAGCCTACCCTTGTCATGATATAAATAGATTTGAAACATTCAAAAAATAAGAATGAAACGTTACACTATCATTATCATATATATAGAATAATAAGATGATGATCCCTACAAATGTTTTGATTACATTCATCGACAACGATTTCTTCCATCTTTTATACTTCTTCCTAAGTACAAACAATGTAAAAATACACAAGTTGGATCTGTCTGTGCAAATCTTAACACAGGACAACGTTACAAAACCTAAATACTGAAAAAAAAAACAATAGGTGCAGTCAAAAATACCGCGAAGAAACATTTGATCATATATCTTCTTCATATGCACCACTCTTTTTTTTTTTTTTTTCATTTTTGCTGATGATTCTGCCATTTATTTATGTTCTGTAATAATCCTGCAAAAAAAAGAGAAAAAAGAGGGCATAGTCCACCATCGATCAGACGAATCTAGGACATTGGATGATCTATGGTAGCCTGTGCCCTGGCTATGATTTCTCTCTAAGTGAACCGAGCCCACGACTAAAAATGCACGGTGTTGTTAGATCGTGAATGCATTTGCAGATCGTTTGTGGAGCTCATGGAGTCACCTTTGCTTACATCTAGTGCTGGGCTATGTCCTTCAGCGGGACTGAAGCTATCGTTTATAGAGTGCCGGATCAATAATTCTTCAGGACCACGGAATGTTGAAGTTGGAGAAGGAAGACGTTTTTGGGACTCCATGGCTTCCACTTCTGCCAAAAGATCCGAGACTGATTCGTCACATTCGTCAGGTCCAGCCACAATGGGTTGCCAATCCGTGGTAGTAGATGCAAAGTTGAATTTGAAAGTTGGACTAAAGAGATCTAAAAAGTCTATTTCTTGATTGTCTGGGAAAGATGTCAAACCCGAGTTAGAATCCCACATATTCGAAGCACTGCTTGGAGTTGCAGCATTCCAATTCTGTCCGCAAGACTGGACTGTAGCCGTGACTTGTTTCTCAGCTGTGCCGTTAAGACTACCGTTTTGATTGTAAGCATTCATTGCTGCATTGTTTCCATCCGGATCTGTTTGACCAGCCTTCCATCTTTCATGTGGTGGCAGAGAGCAGTTTGAGTTTCTGGGTAATGTAGCAAGCGAAAGTGAACAGCTTATTGGGCTTTGTACAAGCAAAGGACTTTCAACTTTTCTTTTGTTCCAGAGAGAGACAGAACCCACAGTATCCCTTTCATTAGAAAGAGAAAAATCTAATGGCACGGTGCGGTTAAAATTGTTTCCGCTTTTGTTACTCACATCCGAGCTCCTTGTGATGACACTGTTACTGCTAGAAATGACACTCTGGTCAGTGCACACTGAGTTGGGGCTGAAGTCAAGTATTCTACTCTCTATTTTAGGAACAGCCACAGGCCTGTTTTGATCGTTAGCTATAGTAGCTGTCACATCCTGCTTGGGGATCGAACGATTCTGTAATAACCCTGTTTTATGGAACTGCCCATTTAATGCGTCGGTCAAAAGTATGGAGCTGTTTTGCTGTTCACCCAACCTCCATATTCTCAGCTCCGGAGGGAAATGCCCGCTCGAATTCCATTGTCGCAGGTTATATAAGGAAAATGGTCCATGAATCTTCCCATCTGGATCCCCATATAACCACACCATATTCGTATCCAAGCCATCGATTGGCTTATTGGACAGAGTGGCACATGTGTCAGGTTTTACCACGGCATGGTTTCTGCTATCAGAACTGGAAGGTCTAACTTGAATACTGTGCCCGTTCAATTGCTGCGACTCTCCTTCTTGATGCTGTTCAGATGTATTAAGCCTATTACAGCTTTTGCTCGCATTGATCTGGAAAGACATAGTTTCAGTGACTCCTCCGGCTGAGTTATCTGTGACTGGAGACCTCACTTGATCGATGAAGTGAGAATCAAGAAGCTTTAACATTTCCAAGTTGTCCACTCGCTCTTTTCCAAACAATCTCATAAGCTTAGTGTCACACATTATTTCGGAATTCTGAGGAGAGTTTTGTAGATTATTCCGTCTCACATACTCTAGAACGAGAGTTTGGACATCATACTTTGATAAGACAGAAATATCACCGTTTTTCATATACCCAACAAAGTCCAAGAGCTCATCTGTTGCCCAAGTAGCAGCACTAGTCAATGGTGGAAGTCTGTCACCCAAAGAACTGTTTGAATCCATAGAAGGACCCAAATTACTAACAGAAACAGCTTCCATTTTCCTTACTTTAGCGCGACGTACTTTCATAACTCCAGGAGAATTTCCATCATCCATTTCATGAACCCGACTAGTAGTTCTTCGCTTGGAAACAGTCGACGAAGACGATTTCCATGGATTTCTTGCTTTCGTAAGATCATCTAACGATAAACCTAGCTTTTCTTTAAGAGAAACCCAGTAGATCTTAAACAGATACTCCCAGCTGCCTTGATCATCAAAATCAACCTGAACCTAGAAAATGTACATGTAAAAACACATTTAAAACAAACATGGCATCGCAAGAGAAAGGCTTTGAAATAGAGTTCAGGCTCTAGAATCTAGATATTCACACAAATAACATTCTAGTACTCCGAGTAAAAGGGAAAGCAACAAAATGTTGATAGATTCACATACCTTTTCTTTGTTAGCTTCAGCTGCATTCTCAATAAGCATTATAGTCTTCATGCAAATTCCACAGAATCCTTTGTTTTCCCTAACAACAACATACTCCGAGCTTCTAACACATCTCTTACAAACTGAATAAGGACAAGTATAACACATGTAGAAGGAATCCTTCTGACAAGTAGTACATATATGCCAACCTGAAAAAAAAAACAAAAAAAATCCTCATCGTCGTTAAAGCTCCCAAAAGAGTTCAACACTATGAACCATCTCAAAGAACATGTTTACCAACAAACTAACCACAATTCCATTTAGATCTTGATCTGAAGAATGCTTCAGTACGCTTAACACAAGCTGGATGATACGCTTTTGGACATCCCCTGACAAATTAAGAAAGAAAAATCAACTAAAAGTTTCTATTTTTAGAAGTACGAATCTAATTGAGCTGAAGAGTAACTTCCTTCACTCACCTACGATCGCAAAGTACAAGACTACCACCATCAAAGCATACAAAACAAACATCTTCATCTTCTCTTCTCTTCCTCGAAATCGGAGGAGAAGAAGCTTTACACAAAGTTCTCGGTGGACGGCCACGTCTACCTCTCTTCTTCAAACAATCGGAATCTTGTTCATCTAACTTCAAATCGACATCTACAGAACCACCACCATCGAAGAATCCAGGAGGTTCAATAGGAGAAGAAGAAGAATCCAATTTAACATCGGAAACACATTGATCGACTCTCATAAGATCGATTTCCGGCATCGGCTCTTCGTGAAGCCAAAAAACAATTTCTCAGCTCAACAAAAGGAAATCAAGACAGAGGAATCCAGAAATGGAAAGATCTGAGGTTTAAGAAAAAGATTGGAAGGTGGAGGAATCGTGGAAACCCTAACCCTAGGATTGGAGGAGAATTGGGAATTGGAGAACGGAGGAGGAGGAGATGGTGGCGTGTAAGGAGAGAAGACACAGTGGGCACATGGGAAATGGACTTACTCGTACTCTCTCGGAAAAACAAAGCAAGAGAGAGAAAGAGAGATGTGACAAGGCAGTGTTTGGTTGTCTGTCTCTTTTTTTGACTTTCTAGAGAGAGAAACAAACAACACGCCTTTTTTTTTTTTTTTTTCCTCCAAACGCCGCGCATATGGCTGGTTCCACGTGGGCAAAGTTGAGGGTGGTGGGAGCCACGCGCGTCTTTTCCCATTAAATAAAATACAGTAATGACATTTTTATTTTTTATTTTTTAACCAAAGAATCTCTTTAAAAGTCAGATTAATTATCTGTGGAAGTTTCTTGCCCCATTAGTTGACTAAAGGTTGATTAATGCTTCTACACTAAGAGGTCTGGGGTTCGAGTCTCAGATGTTGCGATTTATTAACAAATTTGCAGATTAATAGAGGTAAGTGTGCAAGAGATCTCCAGCGATATACAATTATAGCCGTTCGCTAGGATTCTATGCATAGAAAGAAGTGTCACCAGGTCGTGGATCATTGAAGGTATTCATCAAGATCACGAAGAATGAAGTGTAGTCTATCGTGGATCTAGTAAGGGTCGGAAGGAATTATCAGTTGTAGAATCGTTTATGTAACAGTTCTCATAATTTGCAATTAATAATAAATCTAGACGACAAAAAAAAAAAAGTCAGATTAATCCGGAGAACCTACAGAAATAAGTTTTCTTACCACTGCTAATATATACATTTAACTAAACTGCAAAATGCAAAAAAAAAATTGAGTTATTTGAAAGAATTTGATTTATGATTTCTAGAAGTGTATACAACATCATATTTTAAATAAGTTAAGTTTTAGTGAGTTTTAATATGATTTAAATAACTTTAGGTGAGTGTAAGGGCATATTTATCGGGGCAACAGTAGAAGAACAAGCTGAATTGTGGTCTTCATCAAGATCTGTTTTAATACTAGTTCTAGGGTCATTTGTTGGTTAATGATTATTTTTTGTTGGAAAAAAAGAAAAAAGAACATTATTTTAATAATTTTTATATTCTAAGATCTATCCTATAAGTTATTGCGTTGCATATGGTCTAAGGAGATTGTTATGATTTGTTTTTAAACATTTTTTTTTCCAAGTTCCACTTAAACTATGGGATTTAGACTTTTGTATTTTAACCTATAAGAATCAAATTATTTTCAATAACAGAAGATTTTAACATATTTCTCAGAAGTATTTGTTCAATAATATTTAGTTTTAGGAAAGTTTTGAAAATATACAGTATAATTTAATAATATAAGATTTAATATTTCAATTCAAATTACTTCAAAATTTGTTTGAATACATTTTTTTAAAATTTACACCGATATTCCACACCTTAAAGGCTCAAACTGAAACTCCTAACCCTACCATTTGTTTATTTTTATTTGCGTCGATTTAGTGGGGAGGCTTCGTGTCTTAATCTAACACCGACTGTTATATTAAATCTAACAAATAATATTAATATTTTATTAGATATTATTTGTTTTCTTAAATAATAAGTGGACCAAAGCGAAAATGAAATTGAACTACTTTTTTTTTATGTGCAACATGTCGCGGTCGTAGCTTCTTGCTTTGGTCTTCTACTCGCTACCTAACCATATATCTTATCTTTTAATTTTCATTTCGAGATCTTCTTTCACTTAAAAGAAAAATAATGGGAAATATTAAGGAATAGCCAAATAAAACACACAAATTCAAGAATTAACAGAGAAAAAGATTTTTGTTGCAAAATAGATATGGATCCACGTTGTCGGAGAATGTGAAATAACAAAATCATTCTCCGTTTGTTTCGAGATCAACAGTAGGCGAGATAGTTTCGTGATATTTTTCAAAATAGCACGTAAGATCAAAATTTCACATGTTGTATTTAACTAAAATACATGATATTTCAAAAAACATAGTGAATTTTTTAAAAAAAACCATTGTTACCTAATGTTTTTTTTTTTAAAACATTGTTATAGAAAAATTTAACTTGAATAGAATATTTTTTAAAAGAAATAACATGTGATCTTAATAAAAACCGTGTATTACTAAAAATAAGAATCTTTTTTAAAAGAAATCACATGTGATCTTAATAAAACACGTGTATTATTACAAAATAACATGATAAAAAGAGATATTACACTGAATAGAATGTTTTTTCCGAGAAATACCATATGTTCTTTATAAATAACGTGTAATACGAGAAAAATACATGATAAAAAGATATATATTATGCTATCACATGTAATTTAAAAAAAAACGTGTTACAAAAGATATTTACGTAATTACACACGTCTTCCGACATGTTACATATAAGTTATTGTAGCTCATGGTTAGTTTGTATAATTTTTTGAATCAATGATTACTTTGTATATATTCCCAAAATAAAATCAGATATTAATTAGTTGACAAAACTTTTATATAAAATAAAACGAAGTGGACATAACGATTCAAGACTAAATGCTTTATTAAAGTTGCAATGATTTCAAGCAGGATAATGTTTTATAACTAAGAATAACTGATATTTTAGAGTTTTAATTTGTTTCCCTTCTTTTTGTTTCATTTTTTTGTTTGTTAATAACGATAATCTTTTTCAATAGTACAAAACCACACTTGCGAAACATGAGTGTTAAAAGACACTCTATGAAGTGATAGAAGATAGACCTAATAATATAATGCGTTCTGGTCTCTAGTAGGGTAAGTTTTGTATTTTCGTTGTGGTTTACTGGTAAGCTTTAAGACAAATCCATGGTAAAAGATCAAAGTAATACGTACAACCGACTATTATTAAAGTTGAATATGTCGACGATACAAAAAATGGATGAATATCTCACGTTAATTAAAATCTTTATATTTCGTCTCACTATATGCATGTACGTATATATCTAATGTGGATGTTGTGAAAAATTAAAATATATATTTGAAACCAAGGAAAACTCAGTTGTTATATAATTCGTGATAACAGCATATTATCAAACTGAATGATATATCATAGGCCGATGTGACCTGAGCAATCTCACTAGCAAGAATGTCATTGTTAAATGCCTTAAATGTAGTCCCTCCGTTTCAAAATATAAAGCGTTTTAGCTAAAAGCACGCCGATTAAGAAGATCTACTTTTTAAAAGTTCAGTCAATCATAAAAGAGACTGCATAATAAAAATAATCATAAAATATTAAAATAATATATAATTTACATAGAATCTTGAAAACGACTTATATTTTAAAACAAAAAAGTTTTTCCAAAAAGCCTTATATTTTGAAACGGAGGGAGTATTTATCAATATAAATCGGATCACATGCATTTTTAACGTGAACAAAACATCTTTGACTTCGAATGATAGAATATCATAGAAATCAGAGGAATATAAAAAAATAAATGACAGAATTGCTTATTAGTTTGTTTAAGAAAAATCAGGAGGTTTTTTGGTAAACCAAAAAATGGTAGAATTAATATAAAAACTTCAGTAAGAAATTTGAAATATATATATATATATATATATATATGTATGAAATTGTGTTTTCCTCTATTTTGTTTTGGGGATAAAATGAATACTGCTTAGCATTTTGGTTCCAACTGATGATGACTAATATGAATACATATCCAAATGTATATTAAGCTTAGCCTTTTTTAGAATTGGAGAAACTTATATTTTGGAAGATCTCACTTTCAATTCGAAACACATAAATTAACAAAAAAAAATATGAAAAATCATTATCCATTTCTGCTTAATGGGGAAAAAAACAACCTTAATGAAAATTTAAAATTCACAAGTTTAGGGGAATATGTTTTACATGTCTTTTGGGAGAAAAGAAATCGAACACTCGTGCAACAAGAACAGATTTAAATTCAACGGTCTTGCTTTTTATAATAAGACATAAATAATGAGATCCCACCAATAAAACTACTTATTTATTCGTCCGACATGGATTGACAAGAACCCACTCTATGATTATACGAAGTAATTTATTTTATCATCACAGTTTATACGATGTATCAATATAATGATGCATTTATCACTGTAACCTTCGACAGTCCACCTTTTACATGACTAATAATAAAAAAAATTATTATAGAAAGGAATGATCTTGCTAATTAAAATACGTATTTATAAGACAATAATAATATCACAAATTAAACTACGAGATATAGGGTCTGATTGGTAACAAGCTGTTAGCTGTTAGCTGGAGCGGTTAGCTGGAGCTGTTAGCTGGAGCGGTTAGCTGGAGCTGTTAGCTGTTAGGGAATAGTGCAAAGCTGTACAAAAGAATAAAACACGAAAGCTGTACAAAAAAATAACGCAGAACAAATTTTAAAAATTTATTCTGATTGGAAACATCATAGCGGTACACATAATAAATAATATTAAAAATTTAGAAAGAAAGAAAAAATTATATAGAAATGTACTTTAGTATATAATTACATATGAAAATTAAGATTATATAGAATGAACAATATTTTATTGTTAGAATAATAATATGAATTTACTAGTCCTATAATAAATAAAATTTTCTTTATTTTGAGCAATATAACATTCCAAAATAATTGTTTGAGAAAAAAACCATTATTTCTAATGAGATTTTTTCATAGGCTGTATTATTTACTTTTTTGGAAATCTTTATCTGAACATTCGAGACTTTTTTTTTTTGCATTATACATAGTTACAATTATATTTTATAAAGTTTAATTATGCGGTTAATAATACAGTTAACCGTGCGGCTAATCGTACTGTTAAATAACGGTTTTGATACGTTTCCGGTATATTAACGGTTACGGTTAGTATATTTTTTTTAACCGTAACTAATCTAGTTTTACGGTGAATGGTTATGGTTTTTAACCGTTTTATACAGTTACGGTTGAAAAACGGTCCAGTTACGATCCAAAATACGGTTATGGTTAGCTTTTGGTCATGCTTACTATATGTTAACCGTAACCGTATGTTGTACCGTAACCGGACCGTTTCTCAACCGTAACCGTATAAAACGGTTAAAAAACGTAACCGTAAAATATAATTAGTTACAGTTAAAAAATATATTAACCGTAACCGTTAATTAACGATAAACATATGAAAACCGTTATTTAACCATATGGTTAACCGCATAGT